AGTAGTAGGTAGTTAGTAGTAGTAGTAAGAGTAGTAGTAGTAGTAGTAGTAGTAGCAGTAGTAGTAGTAGTAGTAGTAGTAGTAAGTAGTAGTAGTAGTAGTAGTAGTAGTAGTAGTAGTAGCAGTAGTTGTAGTAGTAGTAGCAGTAGTTGTAGTAATAGTAGTTAGTAGTAGTAGTAGTAGTAGTAGTAGTAGTAGTAGTAGTAGTAGTAGTAGCAGTAGTTGTAGTAGTAGTAGTAGTAGTTGTAGTAGTAGCAGTAGTTGTAGTAGTAGTAGCAGTAGTTGTAGTAGTAGTAGTAGTAGTAGTAGTAGCAGTAGTTTAGTAGTAGTAGTAGTAGTAGTAGTAGTAGTAGTAGTAGTAGTAGTAGTAGTAGTAGTAGTAGTAGTAGTAGTAGTAGTAGTAGTTGTAGTAGTAGCAGTAGTAGTAGTAGTAGTAGTAGTAGTAGTAGTAGTAGTAGTAGTAGTAGTAGTGTAGTAGTAGTAGTAGTAGTAGTAGTAGTAGTAGTAGTAGTAGTAGTAGTAGTAGTAGTAGTAGTAGTAGTAGTAGTAGTAGTAGTAGTAGTAGCAGTAGTTGTAGTAGTAGTAGTAGTAGTAGCAGCAGTAGTAGTGTAGTAGTAGTAGTAGTAGTATAGTAGTAGTAGTAGTGTAGTAGTAGTAGTAGTAGTAGCAGTAGCAGTAGTAGTAGCAGTAGTAGTAGTAGTAGTAGTAGTAGTAGTAGTAGTAGTAGTAGTAGTAGTAGTAGTAGTAGTAGCAGTAGTTGTAGCAGTAGCAGTAGTTGTAGTAGTAGTAGTAGTAGTTGTAGTAGTAGTAGTTGTAGTAGTAGCAGTAGTTGTTGTAGTAGTAGTAGTAGTAGTTGTAGTAGTAGTAGTAGTAGTAGTAGTAGTAGTAGTAGTAGTAGTAGTAGTAGTAGTAGTAGTTGTCTGTAACCCAGTAGAGAAAATGTCATTTATTTGTCTTTTATTTTAATGTAGTCATTTTATTTTGAAAAGAGTTTATTTTGGTAAGAGGAAGTGTGATCCTCTCTCTTTGCTGACTTCCTGTTTTGTCTCGTTGGGTGATCATGACTTTCTTATTTGTCCAAAGTTTCAGAGTCGCCTTCTCAAGACGCCATCTCACATTCACAGGAGTTTTTCATTCTTTTACGCTCTGGATGCTCACGCGAGAGTCTGTGTTGACGATCCCGTTTATTTTTGCTCAGTTAAAAGATGTTCATGCTGACTGGGAATGTTTTATATGCGAGTTTCAGCTGACGTCATTGTTATTAAAAGCCCGCGTTGCTGCTGGGAAATATTTTAGTCGGAGGCAAGAAACACGGCAGCGTCAAACACAGTGCGTAACCTCGCGTATTTATCCCCGATAATGGTAAATTCCTGCTGCATTATCAGATGCACAAATAGAAGCACGGAAGAAGGAAAATGTCTTTTTCGTATTCTGAGTGAAAAGAACCGCCAACGGTGAATTAAACGACTTTCAAACATCCGCAGAGCAAACGTAGAAGATCCTAACAAACCGTGGACTCCAACAAGTTCAACAACACATCGAGACTCTTGGAGGTTTTCATCTTTTCTGCTGTGAATGGCCCAGGAGTTTACACCAAGTCATTGTGGATGTCGCCCAAGTGAATATTTGTCCAGGTAGTTGGCGATTCTGACCAGAAATTTGGTTTGGTCCACCTTTTGTCGGGGTTGAAAAGGGTGATTTGTCGTCCGTCGATGCTTATGACCAATTTCTGGTCAAATGGTCTTGGGTCCTCTGCCGTTAGAGTGGATAAATAACCGGGATCAATACCCTTTACGTGCTTTCTCGCTCCGTCCGTCATGTTGAATTAGTGTTTCTTGCCGCCGACCAAAATAATTCCCAGCATGCAACGCGCGCTTTTGTCAACAATGAAACTCGCCTATAATGGGAACTGTGTAATGACTGGAGTGTGCAGTATTTTCTGGTTTGGCCCCTGTGAGCCCAGCACTTTGGGACAATGGATGGAAATTATCCTTAGACTATGATCCGGTGTGTTTACATTCATGTTGTGTCCGGTTTGTTCATTAACATTCTCTCTCCCAATCAAATAAATAAATTCATAAAATAGCATATATATGACAAAAAAAATAATAATAGTGAACGCAGAGCTGGACTCATTCACATCTCTGGCTGAGAATAGGGCAATAAACAAACTTCCTCCAGCTAAACTCTGACAAGACTGAAGTCATAGTGTTTGGTCCACAGAAACAAAGGGACAGTGTCAGCATCACCTCCAGTCTCTCTCTCTAAAACCTTCAAATCAGGCAAGAAATCTCGGGGTAATAATGGACTCAGACTTGAACTTTAACAGCCACATCAAATCAATAACATCTGCAGCCTTTTACCATCTAAAAAACATCACAAAAATCACTGTCTTTACTGTCTAAATCAGACTTGGAGAAACTTATCCATGCGTTTGTCTCCAGTAGGTTAGATACTGTAATGTTCTGCTCACTGGTCTCTCCAAACGAGCTGTGAGACGCTGCAGAACATCCAGAACATCCAGAACATCCAGAACGAGTACGAGCACATAAGTCCTGTGCTCAGGTCTCTGCTCTGGCTCCTGTGGCTCAGAGACTTTAAAGCAGCTCTGCTTTGTACAAGTGTCTCCATGGCCGAGCACCAAAGTCCATCTGTGACATGTTAGTGTCATATGAACATCTCACACTCTGAGGAGCTCAGGGACCAACTCCTGCTGGTGCCCAGAGTCAGAACTAAACAAGGGGAGTCAGAGTTTCAGGTTCATGCAGCTAAAACCTGGAACAGTCTGAACATGTGAGACAGACTCTTCTGTGACGCTGTTTAAATCCAGACTCAAAACATTTCTGTTTAACTGTGCAAATAACTGAAAGGTTTTCATTCCGCACTCTTCTCTCCAATTTATGTCTCTCTTTTTTCATTTTAATCTTCATGATTATTTATGTTTTGATTTGTTTTTATTATGATTTTAATGTATTTCTTATTCTGTAACGCACTTTGAATTACTTTGTATGAATTGTGCTGTACAAATAAACTTGCCTTGCCTTGCTTCTGTCCATCCTGGAGACCCCCCAGCACCATCACGGGCAGGAGAGCAGCTCTGGGGACAGGCTGACCCTGACTCTACAAGTCGTTTGTACCACGCTTTTTATAATTTGATAAGTTGTTGTTATGTATTATGTTCTGCAGTATATATTATGTATTGTATTATGTAGCGTGCTGCCATAAAAAATGAATTTTCTTTGGTATAATAAAGCTCCTAATCTAATTTCATGTATCTGAGCAAAATGTGTCTTGATCCAGTACATTATATATATTGTACAAACAGCTCATAAGTCAAAGTAAGTCCACTGTGTGCTGTCTGCCTTCTCAAAGGGCGGGTCGCAAGAGATTTTTTGGGGGTCATCTTGTCACGATCTGCAGGATCTGTGACCTTATCGTCATTCTGGATCAGCATTATGTCAGAATATCTTGTCCTCAGTTGGGCCGGTGTTTCTATTTCTGTGCTTATTCCTTTTAACTACTACATATCTGTGTGAATTGGGATTTTCTGTCCTCACAAAAATGAAGACAAAGCACAGAAACAGATTGAATACTGCTCCTGATGAATCCGTGTATCATTCGTTCATTCGTTTCTATTTTCTTCATTATTTGTCTCCAAAACCAAAATGAAAAAAACAGATAATGATTTGTTTCTTCAGTTTTTCGATTTCGTGTTTAAATTAAAAATGGAAAACACGGATAATGGCTGTTTCCCGTTTCCCTGACTGAACCAGGACTGAACCAAGACTAAACCAGGACTGAACCAAGACTAAACGAGGACTGAACCAAGACTAAACGAGGACTGAACCAAGACTAATCGAGGACTGAACCAGGACTAAACGAGGACTGAACCAGGACTAAACCAAGACTAAACGAGGACTGAACCAAGACTAAACGAGGACTGAACCAGGACTAAACCAAGACTAAACGAGGACTGAACCAGGACTAAAACCAGGACTGAACCAGGACTGAACCAAGACTAAACGAGGACTGAACCAGGACTAAACCAGGACTAAACCAGGACTGAACCAGGACTAAACTGGTCTCAGTCCCAGTCTGGTCCCAGTCTCAGTCCCCGTCTCAGTCCCGGTCTCATTTATGGTCTCAGTCCCAGTTTGGTCCCGGTCTCAGTCCTGGTTTAGACCTGGTTTAGTCCTGGTTTAGTCCGGCATCTCAGTTTAAGTCACATAAACAGGAAACGGCCAGTATTTTTCCTTTATTTAGAAACAAAAAAATTGAAAAATGAAAAAACAAATTGTTATTCAAATAATGAAGAAAATTGTTGTTTTTTCATTTTCTTATTTTTGGTTTTATTTTGAAAAACTAATGAACGAATGACACACGGATCCTGATCTGCTGCTGCGCTCTTCTCAAATGTTGAAATGTTAAGGCATGTTTTGTATAATATTCTACATTTACTGTCCAAATAGGCAACTTATGGATCCTTTTATTGCTGCTTTAATGACAGTTTTTCATCGTTTTAAACTTGTTTTGTTCAGCGAGACACAATCACTCAGTCAACAATAAAATGTCCTCATTAATGTTCAATAATGCTCAAATCCACCTTTATTTTGTGACTTACGGAATAATGTCTATGAACTTGGGTCGCGAAGGTTTGTGACTTATGAGTCTCCAGAAAAAAAACTTTGGGAAACACTGCTTTAGAAGAGGTGGAAATGCAAGGAGCAGCCAGACAAGGATGAAAAAATGCATAGAACACTCGGTTGGCCGATGTCCAAAAGCTTTTTTATTAACAAAATAACGTTTCGGCAAAAAAAAAGCCTTCATCACATATTTTTCTTATGGGTCCCCAGAAAAAAAGTTTGGGACACACTGCTTTAGACCACTGAAAATCATTTAAAAAGAACTATTTCCGTTTATAAAAATCCCTTTAACTCCTTAGTTTTGTTATAGAAAACAGAAAAGCCCAAACTAAAACCATATTCTTGTCTTACCCACAGTAACCCCGACCCGGACAACTGCCCTCGGCCGGTGAACAGCGCGCTGGACGGAGTCACGGCCGAAGACGACTCGGAAAAGGCCTTCTCCCGACCTCTACTCACCGAACCCCGCTCCTACTTCCACTTCTACATCACCGAGGAGCACCAGCAGGGCAAACCCAAGCCCGAGGAGCACCCCAACAACCACGCTCCGCCTCAGGCTCCCGCGGACTGCACGGCCAACGGCGTCCACCACCACCACCACCACCACCGCGACGGCCACGAGCTGAGCCTGGTGCTGGACGAGCGCTCCAAAATGGACACGGCGGAGTGCAGCTTCGCGTCTCACTTCACCATCCCGAACTTTGTGAATCTGGAGCAGGCGTCGGCGCTGGGGGAGGACGAGCTGGCGTACGAGCCGTCGGCGACTCTGGAGAAGCAGGCGTCCGCGCAGGAGCTCCACTGTGACGCGCGTTAACTGAAAAACTGTAGATATAAACGGACGGAACTGATCGACTCTGGCTCCAGATCACCTTCTGTTGAAAAACCGTGGTCCCTCTCTCTGTAACTGCTGCTGTCGGGCTCGTCATATTGGTCTTAAAATGTTCGTACCGATGCACTCGAGTTAGTTATTTCAAACCTGCACATACAGTTCACAAAACAACGTAAGACCGTCACAGACACAAAAATGAAGGTTTCAAAAGGGGATGGATGAAGGAAAGTGCAGACATTTCCAATCCCCTCCCACATTTCATGACAAAACAAAAAAACATTCACACTGTGCTCAGAGTGTCACTCTTGTCTCTCCTCCAGGTATTGTTTCTTTTATTTTTATTAATGTATTATTATTTATTCACTTAATTTGAGATGTTCGATGTCCATTTAGTCATATACACATAAGTACTTACATACGAGCACACGTCCATATACACACGTGAATCCGTGCATCATTCGTTCATTCGTTTTTCAATATAAAACCAAAAATAAGAAAACGAAAAAACTACAGTTTTCTTCACTATTTGTCTCCAAAACCAAAATAAAAAACGGAAAACGATTCGTTTTTGTTTTTTTTCAGTTTTCAATTTTGTGTTTAAATGAAGAATGGAAAAAACGGATAATGGCCGTTTCCCGTTTACGTGACTTCCGTGACTGAGATGCCGGACTTTTGCACCGCGTACGGACTGAACCAGGACTGATCCAGAGTGGGACTGAGACCGGGACCAGAGCGGGACTGGGGCGGACTCTGAGCTTTGACTCTGAGCCTCCACGGGGTCCGAGTCCAGCTTCGAGCTCCAGTCCTGCAGTGGGCTTTGAGCCTCCGGTCTGGTCTCGGTCTTGTCTCGGTCTCAGGCCCGCTCTGGTCCCGGTCTGGTCCCGGATCTGGTCCATTTGAACCAAAAGCTCTTAGTTTGGTTTGTTTTCGTTGGTGTGAAAGCGTCAGTTGGATGCTTTGCACCACCTCGGAACCAGCCGCGGTTCTTGAGTGTGGAGGACTGGAGCAGCCCGTCCGGACCTGTAGTCCACAGAACATTCTCACTTTCCCCACACGGAACCAGCGCGGAGACGATGACACGGAACCGCTCGGACCGCTGGTCTTGGTCTCAGTTCCGCTCTGGTCCCGGTCTGGTCCCGGTCTCAGTTCCGGTCTGGTCCCGGTCTGGTCCCAGTCTCAGTTCCGCTCTGATCCCGGTCTGGTCTCGGACCTGGATCAGTCCTGGTTCAGTCCGTACGCGGTGCAAAAGTCCGGCATCTCAGTCACTGAAGTCACGTAAACGGGAAACGGTCGTTATCCCTTTTTTCCATTCTTCATTTAAACACAAAATCGAAAACTGAAAAAAATGAATCGTTTTCCATTTTTTATTTTGGTTTTGGAGACAAATAATGAAGAAAACTGTAGTTTTTTTGTTTTCTTATTTTTGGTTTTATATTAAAAAACGAAAGAACGAATGACACATGGATTGACGTGTTCAAAATTGTTGGTTCCCCTCTGGCAATGAAAGAAAAATCAACAATCGTCACTGAAATAACTTGTTTTAATGTTTTATTACCTTTAAGTTTGTAATGAGAATGAGCACTTTCGATCTTGAAATAAATAGTTTAAATTACCTGGAAGAGAGTCGATAGATGCCCTGAACATAATTTGAGCAGTTTTAAAGTTTAAAGTCTGATGATGTTAATAAACAATGGGTTTGTTGGATGCAGATAATGGACCTTGTGGCACCTCTACATGATTCTAGTGGTTTTATTTGGTCATTTTGTCCCTTAATCGACAAATGAACATTAATAAATCTGACAAATGAGACTCCTTCTTTCCCCCGAGGTGTTTGCATCGGGCTTGATTGACAGCGGTGATAATTAAAGGGGCGTCGGATTGGCTCTTCGATACTATGACAACTGCATGCCGTGATGAGCTTCATTTGCCTCGAGACGAACGCTTTGGACGACTTCACACTCTTTATGTCCACTTCTTCACACGGTCTGCGGCGCTGCTGAGTGGAGTGTTTACATAATGGTGGATTTTGATGGATTCTTCGAGAGAAACGTGTCGATAAGAACGGCGTACTCTGCACACGAGGACTGAAGAGGGAGTTAAATGTGCACGTGTGAATACATGTTACTGCCGGTGTTAAACGATTTGTCTATTCAGAATCGTTGTAATAAATGTTTTGTTTAAAGATGTGGTGTTGTTATGCTTTGAAAAACGCAGTGGCGGAGCGTGTATTTCACACCTCGGCCTTCAGTCCTGCTCCGTCTGAAACAATCCACTCCTCAGTAACTATTTTATGGTTGTAAAAGCATCTTATTCTACAGAAACACAGTATAAAGACCCGTGGAGATTTCGTGCACGTAGAAGTGAGGAGAGGGGGGAGCGCGGTGCACAGAGAAGAAGTGAGGAGCGCTGGGACTAAACCAGGACTGTTTGTGGGGACTGGCCCGAAGGTGCGCCCTCGTAGACTGTCAGGTGACCACAGACAAAAGGACCGTGCCAGGGCCAGTGCTCCACTGCGCTGCACGGGGCTCAGCTCCTTGCCGCACGGGGCTCGGCTCAGCGCGGTGCTACACGCTGCCCGGGGCTCAGTGCAGCTGTCACTCGATCGCGCTTTGCAGACACCCACTCTCTCGCTGTTTCTCAAGTCCAAGATTAGTCCTGGTGTAGTCCTGGCTTAGACCTGGTTCCACTACAGATGCAGTTTGCTGCTTTGGCTGGTTCTCTCTGTCCAATCACAGGTCTGAATTCGGTGACGTTGTCGTTCGCTGCTCAAGTCCCTGTCGACATCAACTCAAAATCTGATTGGTTGAAGCAACACTTTCATCGACATTTATTTTGTGTTTGAGTTCCTGCAGAACGGATTGTGAAAGCCTCAGGGAGACTTCTTTGACTCTGACTCTGCCCGGCAACAAGTGACGGCTGAAATGTGATTGGTCAAATGCTTTAATATGAAAATACATGTGTGAAGCAGCACAAGCGTCGGAAAAACTCTGAAAGGAAGAGGACAGACCATTTGGAGTTATTTAATAATAATATAATTAACATCAGTCTGTGATTCAGATATTTTTTTTAGGCCAGCAGAGAAGGTCTTGAAGGCCCTGACACCCCACCGCTGGCAAACGTTAAAACCCGTCCATTTCTGCAACTATTTGCCTGTACCTCGGTGCAGGACTCTGAACCAACCACACACTAGGACAGGATACTTCCACTAAAATAAGGAATATGAAGAGTTTGTGGGGAAAAAGTGTTTGTATGTTATGATTTTCCAAAGATAAACTCACATATTGATGCAGTCGTGTGTAAGAAGAAAGCAGATGTTTCTCACACATCTACTTTTGCACAAACAATTTCAACAAAATTTGGTAGTGCAAAAACGCATAATTATGGATTTATTTAAGATGAAAGGAAGTTAGAGAAGCAAGAACACAGACCGTTTAATTCTTTGTATGTATCTTGTCCAGAGTCATAATAAGGTCACATGTTTTTGCAGTGGATAAGGTGCAATCTAAGTTCACTGGATCATTTCTCAGTGTGACTCTGAGAACTCGTCCTTCAGAATCTAAAAAGAACAACACTGAAGCAGAAAGAGGAGAATATCTGATATCTTAAGACTAGGGACGGGCATTCGATTAAATTTTCTTAATCGATCGTCGGAAGAATTAACGATCGATTATGATTAATCATTAACGTTTTATATTAAAATGATCATCATTATTATTACTATCTGCACTAATCTGCATAAATAAATTCAGCTTTACGACATATAAACATAACGACTCTAGAGCCACATCAGCCCGTTTAACATTATAATGTGTTTAATTCAGTTTTGCGCAAGTCTCCCAGAAACGAAACTTAAAACCTCATGACTAATTTGCATAAACTAAGCAAAGATTAAAACTCCAGCTCTTGTGTCGCTGATGTGGTTCAACTTGTGTTGGATTAAAAGACATGACTCAGGTGAATACAGGTTAGTGTGACCAAGCTGAACCACATCAGCGACACAAAGAACGAGCTGTTTTTTTGAGCGCTCAGTTTATGCAAATTAGCCATGCGATTTTAAGTTTCGTTTCTGTAAAACATAAACAAATAGGCTCAAAGCTGTGTGGATAGGGAAGGCTTGTGGACACAGAAACGACCTGTTTGGATGCACATTGTTTCTGATACAGTGATACACGGATTCGTTTCAGTGTAAACGGAGTCTTAGGCTGCGTTCAGACTGCAGCCTGAAGTGACCCAAATCAGATTTTTTGGCCCCTATGTTCCTGTATCTGATCTTTTAATGAGTCTGAACAACACAGATCCAATTTTTTTCAAATGTGACCCAGGACACTTGGATATGTGCTCCTGAAACTGATACATATCTGATCTTTTGACATGTGACTTCAGTCTGAACGGTCAAAGTGCATTCATCCACCTACACGTTATCAACAAGACACAAACGTCACTATTCTGCGCTGAAGTAGCGAAAATTGTTAATGAACTCCATGTCACTGAAGTGAAGCACATCACCACTCACCACTCTTGGCTCCGTCTCCACATCCACACGTTCCTTTCAACGGACGTCGCTGCCGCTGCCCCACAAAACACCAGCGGCGGCGGCGGCGGCGGCGGCGGCGGCGGCGGCGGCGGCGGCGGCGGCGGCGGCGGCGGCGGCGGCGGCGGCGGCGCGGTGGCGGCGGTGGCGGCCACCAAGTTCAGGTCAGAAGAACATGAAAACATTAATATTCCACTAATGACACATCTTGTTTTTCTTGGGTCCACATTTCCGGAGAATTCTGTGAACTCCTGTTTCTTTTTTGAAGACGAGGAACACGAGCAAACATCTCCAGGTCCTATCGCTCCAAACCAAGTCGTCGGTTACATGCCGCCATCCCGACACTGACGTCTAATTTTCGGATTGACGGCATTTCCAGTTTTTATCAAACATCCCTGCACTAACTTTTTTTTTTTCCTTGGTCAGTCCGACACACAAGGTCATTATTAAGCGGCGCGGCGGCGGCGGCGGCGGCGGCGCAATGGCGGCGTAGAAGGCGTGATGTGTGCGCGTGTCTAAATCCTGGTTTAGACCTGGTTTAGACCTCGTTTTAGTTCTGGTTTAGTTTAGTCCTGGTTTAGTCCTGGTTTAGTCCTGGTTTAGACCTCGTTTAGACCTCGTTTTAGTTCTGGTTTAGTTTAGTCCTGGTTTAGTCCTGGTTTAGACCTGGTTTTAGTCCTGGTTTAGACCTGGTTTTAGTCTTGATTTAGACCTGGTTTAGACCTGGTTTTAGTTCTGGTTTAGACCTGGTTTAGACCTGATTTAGACTTGGTTTAGACTTGGTTTAGACCTGATTTTAGTCCAGGTTTAGACCTGGTTTAGAACTGGTTTTAGTCCTGGTTTAGTTTAGTCCTGGTTTAGACCTGGTTTAGACTTGGTTTAGACTTGGTTTAGA